GTCTCGTTGGCTTCTGCTTCATGTGGGGTTTATCTGCTTCATCAGTAAATGTCCTATCATCGGTAACAGTCACATCAGTGGTAGTAACTTCACCGTTTCCCTTCTCAAAACTGAGTAGAGTTTCTTCTTCGACATTGGCTTTTTCAGGTGACACCTCTACAGCAGCGTCATTTGTTCCTTTGTTCACTTCATCCCAACTGAAATGTCCTGGACCGTAATAACGCCAAAGCCTGTTGGCAGGCACCACTTTTGGCTCACCTCGCCGACCACATTTTATCCGGAAAGTCACGTCTGAGAGACGATCCACTATGTCATATGGGCCTTCCCATGGAGAAGACAACTTAGGAGACTTCCCTTTGGTCTTCCTGGGATTATACAACCACACCTTGTCTCCTGGTTCAAAGCTGACTTCAGTAGATCTCTTATCATTCAAAAATAGCTTCATCGAATCAGCAGACGTTTTCAAGTTTGAATGCACCTGATGGTGAATATCATCCGTCCTTTCCGATAACACGTTCACAAACCCTGACACATTCTCAGGCAACTCTTCATAAGGTGGGCGTCCTGTTAACAGATCCACTGGCAACCGAAGCTCCCGACCAAACATCAACTTTGCTGGAGTGTTTCCAGTGGTTTCATGCTCTGCTGTCCTATAGGCCATCAACAGTGGAAGGAGTAAGACATCCCAGTCATCTTGGCGGCTATTACAAAACTTTGCCAATTCCTGTCCCAGTGTCCAGTTGTACTTTTCTACCATCCCATCAGACTGTGGGTGAAGCGACGTTGTCCTGATCATTTGGATGCCAAACAACTTGCAGCATTCATGGAACACAGCTGATTCAAAGTTACGGCCTTGCTCTGAATGCAGTTCGTATGGCATACCAAATCTGAAGAAGAAGTCACTAATACCCGAAGCTACAGTTGTAGCTTCCTGATTTGGTATTGCATATGCCTAAGGCCACTTGGTGAAATAATCCATCACCACACAAATGTACCTGTTACCAGCACGAGTTTGGGGCAGAGGACCAGCAATGTCGACGGCTACTCTTTCCATTGGTGCACCAACTTGATATAACTTCATTGGAGCATGTCCCTTATGCTTGGGTCCCCTTTTAGCACAACATGTACTGCATGTTCTGCACCATTTTTCTACATCTTGTCTCATACCTATCCAGTAAAATCTGTGTCGTAGGTGACTCAATGTTTTCTTAACTACGAGATGTCCTCCTGTTACAGTATCATGGGATTGACGCAACACAACTTCTCGTAACTTTCTCGGTATAACCATTTGCCAGGTCGTCACTTTCCCATCTGCAGTTTCCCATCCCCGGAGAAGAATACCATCTTCAAGCCTCAACTGGTCCCATTGTGCCCAATAGTTCTTTGTCACAGGGCTTAGACTAGACACCTTCTCCCAAGCAGGGCGCAAAACACTTGCTTTTAGAAAATCAATCACTGGCTTCAAATCTTGGTCTTTCTCCTCTTCTGCCTTGTTATCTATATTTGGTTCCACTTCGTCATCATCAACTTCTTCAGTCACTTTGACTTCACCTTGATGGCACCTAATTAGTTCAAACTCTCTTTTAACAGTTACCGGAACTTGGTTTTTGTTGTTCCCAAACGTCACTTTATCAAAATTAATTACAAACTTCTTCGGTAGTACGTAGTCCAATCCTAATATGTATTCGTCTTCAATGTCAGCCAAGTATACTTTGTGTCTGTCCTTTATGCCCATGAGCTCAATAGTTACCCACACTGGTCCCCACAATCTTGCAGAATGTCCTGTCACACCACAAAGCTTTTGTATGGCTTCTGGTACTCATTCGTGATCTAACACCTTGATGCTCAAAAGGGTTTGCTGAG